CTTTTTCTCAGTACATTCATCTTTATATGCACCAGCTCACATCGCTGGCCATCTCCTGGAAGAGGGTGTGAGGGTAAGTCAGAGTGACACCGGATGTAGGATGAGATCCAGAGGAACTGAAACTAAAGCAGCTGTGAAATCCAAGATAAATGTGCGGAAGGCGAGAGACGCGAGCATCCAGCGCAGGATGGGCCCTGGAGCTGTTTGTCTTCCAGCCTTCCTCGAATGTCACAGGGCAAATGTCACGGGAGGCCCGAGCAGGCCCCACGCTCCGTCTCCCCACGTGCGCTCCTCCTCGCTGGGCTCCTTTGGCCCAGCGTCTGGCAACCTGCAGGCTTTTCCCTTTGTTACAAAAGTAACTGTGGTTTTGTGTTTTTTTAATTTTTTAAATTTTCACCATAAAAATTTTTTGGTTTTGTGTTTTTATGAAAATTTAAAAAATAAAAAAAACACAAAACCAAAAAATTTTTATGGTGAAAATTTAAAAAATTAAAAAAACACAAAACCAAAAGTAACTGTGAACAAGGTTGTGCGAAGCTGAGCACCTTGTACGCAAGATGACCCCAGACGGAACTCACCACCTCCCGCTTTCCTTCTCAGGTTTTACCTGGCTTTATTTTTGTTTATTTATGGCTGCCTCGGGTCTTCATTGCAGCACAGCCCCCCCACCCCACCCCGCCCCGTTGCGGTGCACAGGCTCAGTGGCTGCAGCTTGTGGGCTGAGGTCCCCCAGTTCCCTAACCAGGGACCAAGCCGAACCTGCGTCACCTGCATTGGAAGGCGAATTCTTAACTACTGAACTACTGGATCACCTAGGAAATCTCTAACACAGCATCACCATCTTGCTACTGACCCACCAAGAAGCCTGAATCATTTTCCACTCTCATTTTTCTTCATCTTCACCCAAAACTTCCTGCCAAGGTTAACTCCTCTTCAGATGTCTTCTCTCCTCTCTCCCCCCACCTCCCTTGTCCGTGGCTTAGTTCACATTCTCAGCATTTCCCACCTAGAATCCTGCAGGAGCCTCCTGGCTGCATTGCCTGCTGCTCTTTCTCCCCTCTGCTACGGTGCTGGCTCAGCGACTCTTCCTCATAAACAAGATGACCATACTCTATACGTGCTATGCTTAGCCGCTTAGTTGTGTCCGACTCTTTGTGACCACATGGACAGTAGCCCACCAGGCTCTTCTGTCCATGGGATTCTCCAGGCAAGAACACTGGAGTGGGTTGCCATGCCCTCCTCCAGGGGATCTTCCCAACCCAGGGATTGAACCCACGTCTCCCACATTGCAGGTAGATTCTTTATAGCCTGAGCCACCAGAGAAGCTGATCATACTCTATCTCCTATTAAAAACCTCCACCATTTTCTCCCTTGTTTATTGCATTGGTATCCAGAAAGATGCACAAGCTGATCTTTGCACTGTGCCTCTGACAGTGTGGAATACTGGCCACCTGGAGGGTCCCCCTCCACATACTTTTTAACACACTGTTGTGCTCTCACGATGTAAACGTGATGGTCAAGAACAGCACTGTCAGCCACTTACCTGGTGGTCCAGTGGCTGAGAATCTGCCTTACAATGCAGGGGATGGGACATGGGTTCGATCCCTAATCAGGGAACTAAGATCTCACATGCCATGAGTCAACTAAGCCTGCACACCACAACTGTGGGGTCCTAGAACTGCACCCAGAAAGCCCACCTGCCGCTGCTAGAGAGAAGTCTGCGGGCCGCAGCAAAGAAATCGAGGGCCACGACAAAGATCTGCAAGGTCAAAAATAGTTCATTGACTAAAATATTTTTATTAAAAAAAGAACAGCACTGTCCAGTAGGAAGGTCTTCAGTGAAGACAATGCCCCGTGTCTCTGCTGCTCACTGCAGTTGCCACTGGCTCCATGTGGCTACTGATCTCTAGAAATGGGGCTGTTGTGACAGAGAAACTGTATCTTTAATTTTAATTTACTAACAACGTAACTGAAAGAGAGAAAGTGAAGTCACTTAGCCATGTCCGACTCTTTGTGACCCCGTCGACTATAGCCCCCCAGGCTCCTCTGTCCATGGGATTCTCCAGCCAAGAATACTGGAGTGGGTTGCCATTTCCTTCTCCAGGGGATCTTCCCAACCCAGGGATTGAACCCTGGTCTCCCGCATTGCAGGCAGACACTTTCCCATCTGAGCCACCAGGGAGCTATCGTAATGGACAATACAGTTTCAGAGTTAAAAAAAAAAAAACCTTGTGAGATGAAACTTGAGCTTTAAAGGGTAAGAAAATTCAAAAAATGGGAACTCTGATCCCTGGACTCCTACATTAAGCTGTGGACTCTGAAGGGAGGCCAGACCAACCACAGCTCAGTAGCACCCCCTGGTACTCAGAAAAGGAAAATGCAAACATTCGAGAATAAGTGCCTCCAGTGTTCCTCTAGATTAATGATTACAAGCAACTACAGTTTTACAATAAAATATCCCCAAATATACAAAGAAATAAGCCACCATGAAAGAAGATTTAGAACCCAAGGTTTTCAGCTATTAGAACTATTGCATACATAATATAACATAGCCACATGTAAAATGTCTTAAAAATCAACATAAAGCTTAGAGTCTGAGAATGAAAAATATATAAGATCAGGCATATTTGAAAAGGAACCAAACAGAAATTTTAGAGATTAAATATTTAACTATTAAAGTAAAAAACTGAATAAAGGGTTAAACAAGTTAGACACAACTGAAGAAAACATTAATGGATAAAAGATCAATAACCTAGAATGAAGTGTAAAGATGTAAGGAGGAGGAAAATATTGCTAAAAAGATTAACATATGTGGAAAATAGGATTAAAAGATGTGTATTTTGAGTCCTAGAAGAAGACGATGGAGAGGCAAATTTAAAAAGACTGTGGCTGAGAAATTACCAGAACTGATGCAATAACATGAATCCAGATTCTGAAAGCACAATCTTATCAGCAGAAACAGACCCAAGCAAAATGATAACATAGACGGTTTTCTTCTCTGTCCTACTAATTCTTGGAAGTGCCTATCTCATTTTCAAGCATCTTCTACTGGGCGTCCAGATGCCCAGCTCCCCCACACTGCCCCCAGTCTATTCAAGCTCATTACACACACACCTTCACCCAAACCAGCACTTTCAGATACTAAAGAATGATAATTAAAATGATCAGATAAACCAGTCAGGGCTTGTATATTTTCAGAGTTAATGAGTTGCCTGTCCCAATTACATAACGCTTTAAGATTACATTACCGATGTCCCTTGAGGAGTGGCACAACTATTGGAATTCAGGCACAGTGCCCGAAAGACCCGGGAAAAGAAAGAAGCTATGGGTGTCCTCGTGCCGCTCAGTGTGAGAGCCCGCCCTAACGGTTGACTTCTGAGACAGGTAAGTGACCAACGCACCCACACATACACTCAGCCCCCAGGGGACTGGGTCCTTAGTCATCAGAAAGAACAGACTTCATGTTTATTACCAAACTGAGGAGGGTGGAAATCCACGTTGGATGACGTCCCCCGGAGCACCCCCAGCCCTGTAAGCAGCGTATACAACCAGCATCAAAGACAACCAACATACAGCATTCCTCCGGCTACAGTTAGTGGTTCAGTAGTGAATTCGTCCACTGGACAAATACTTACTGGGCACTTACTCTGTATTAGGCACCGTGTGGACAGAGAGATACTGCAGAATTCAAGATGGGCGAGACGCCTGACCCCGTGACTCTTACACAGGGGTGAGGGGGAGACATTACAAATAAACAAAGTACTTACACACATCTTTCTACGAGCATGTCTCTAAAGAACATACATGCGCACGTGTGTACGTGGGCTTGGCCACTTCAGTCGTGTCCGGCTCTGCCACCCCGTGGACTGTAGCCCACCAGGCTCCTCTGTCCACAGGACTCTTCAGACAAGAACACGGGAGTGAGCTGCCAGGCCCTCCTCCAGGGGATCGTCCCAACCCAAGGATCAAACCCATGCCCCCTGCATCTCCTGCTTTGGCAGGTGGAGTCTTTAGCGCTGAGCCGCCAGGGTCGCCCATGTATGTGTACGTATGCTTAGCCGCTCAGTCGTGTCCGGCTCTGCGGCGTTATGCATTGTAGCCCGCCAGGTTCCTCTGTCCATGGGATTCTCCAGACAAAACACTGGAGTGGGTTGTCATTTTCTACTATATCGGACTTCCCAGGTGGCGGCAGTGGTGAAGAACCCACCTACCAATTCAGGAGATGTAAGGGACACAGGTTAGATCCCTGGGTCAGGAAGACCCCCCTGGAGAAGGAAAAGGCCACCCACTCCAGTGTTTCTGCCTAGAGAAGCCCACGGACAGAGGAGCCTGGCGGGCTACCGTCCATGGGGTCACAAAGAGCTGGATTATACATGTATATTGTATAAATGACTGCAATATGAATGGATGAAGGGAAAGGAAAATAGCAGGCGGTTTAAGAATCTGTTTCTATTTTTCAGAGAAGGGACATGGAGTTTGAATCAGGATAGTAGCAACAGAGAAGTAGATGAATTTGAGACACAGGAGGCAGTGATTGGTTGTGTGGAATGAAGGCAGGGAACTACTGTGGGGAATTATACGGGTCCACTTTGGACCTCTGGGTGGGTGGTGTGGTCCTACACCGCTGCTGCTGCTAAGTCGCTTCAGTCCTGTCCGACTCCTAGCGACCCCATGGACCGCAGCCCACCAGGCTCCCCCGCCCCTGGGATTCTCGGGGCAAGAACACTGGAGTGGGGTGCCACTGCCTTCTCAGGTCCTACACTAAGAAAGAGAAAAGAAGGGAAGATGCCTTCCGTGCGGTCCTTAACTGAGTGTGTCTGTGTCACAAGCAGGTTTTCAGAGTCGCTGCATCATCTGCGGCTGGAACTCAGCAGGAAGACCAGGCAACTGAAGCCAGGCAATGACCTCACTAACGAGCTGTGTGTGGCCCCAGAATAAAACTCTAAGAACTATCAACACGGAGGGAGCGGGCGGGGGAGGCTGCAGTTTGGGTCTTGCAGGCAAGGGGAAGCAAGCGCTTCAGGAACGCCCAGAGAGGCAGGAGCGGCGGGCACGAGGCGGGTGTGTCCCAAACGCTGACGGGCTCGAGACCGCGAGCAGCAACGCGACGGCGAGACATCCAGCGCGGCCTGGGGGGCGGCGAGAGGAGCCGCCGCCAGAAGAGCGGCTTCCTTGGAGTCGAGGCGGCCTGCCAAGCAGGAGCTGCGATTCCATCTCTGGGCGGGGAGGGTCTCCTGGAGGAGGGCGTGGCGCCCACCCCGCCTTCTTGCTGGAGAATCCCTGGACGGAGGAGCCTGGAGGGCCGCAGCCCTGGGTCGCAGAGTCGCACAGAACCGAGCGCGCAGATGGAGGTGAATAAGGTCAGCTGCTCTTTCTGCTGCAGGCCCTGGGTCAGGAATGGTCACTCCCTGTCCGTGGAAGACTCTGATCCCCTCACAAACCGGAGCAGCCCCTGTCGTCCTGTGGAGGACGCGCCGGGGACAGGAGCCACTGAGCCCGAATCCTCCCCGGACGGGGTGCGGCTGAGGGCAAGAACGTAGCAGAAGCAGGTTCAATTCAGGTGCAAGAGCTAAAACTGGGAAAAGAGCAGCTTTTCAAATCCGATGTTAACAGCAAATGGCATACAGTTGACTGAATGTGACCCCTGAAGGAAAAGCTCAGAATTTTCAAAAAATGTATTAGCTAACCAGGAATGCTCGAAAAGTAAACATTCCTAGAAGACTTGCTTATTATGTAAATATTTAGCTAAGGTTTCTATCTACATTCGTCTTGTATTTAACATGATATTTCATTTTAATGGAAACAGAAGGCATTTGTTAAAATTTTCTACTGAAATACAGTTGATTTACAATGCTGGGTTAGTTTCAGGGGTACAGCAAAGTGATTCAGATATATATATGTTATGTATATGGTTTTCTCATATATATATTCTTTTTCGGAGTCTTCTCCATTATAGGTCATTATGAGATATTGAGTCCAGTTTTCTGTGCTTTTCATGTGGTTATCCATTTTATACCTGGTAGTGTGTGTGTGTGTGTGTGTATTAATCCCAAACCCCTAACTGACCCCTCCCACCGCTTCCCCTTTGGTGACCATGTTTGTTCTCTGTATTTGTGAGTCTGTTTTTTAAGACTATTTGCACCATTTTTTAAGATTACACATATCAGAAATATCATGTAATGTGTGAATGTTCAGTTACCTAGTAGTGTCTGACTCTTTGAGACTCCATGGACTGTAGCCCACCAGGCTCCTCTGTCCATGGGATTTTTCAGGCAAGACTGCTGAAGCAAGTTGTTATTTCCTTCTCCAGGGGATCTTCCCAACCCAGGGATCAAACCCACATCTCCTGCTCTGGCAGGTGGATTCTTTACCACTGAGCCACCTGGGAGGCCGTATCATATAATGCCAAGTGAAAGGTGTTTAGCCGCCAAATGCACAGAGATTATAAGCACAGGCTCTGAAATCAGAGAGCTGAGGTTTACATTCTAACAACACAACTTCCTAGCCTTCTGTGTCCCACAAGGTTCCTGGTGTCTCTGATCCTCAGTTCCTTTAACCTCGAATGAGTCCTCACAGGACTGTTGTGGAAGCAGAATTATATTATAATTCTATATTATAGAATCATAGAAATATAATATATAATAAATTACAATATATGTCCTAGCACAGTGCCTGGTCCATAATTACTCCAAGAATGGCCGTGGCGTTGATAAGAGTCACAGTTGGAAAAAAGGCGATGTCAGCCACTCCAGTTCTCTCCCCTGGAGAATCCCAGGTACGGAGGGGCCCAGTGGGCTGCGGTCCATGGGGTCAAGAAGAGTCAGACATGACTGAGCGACTTCCCTTTCACTTTGCACTTTCATGCATTGGAGAAGGAAATGGCAACCCACTCCAGTGTTCTTGCCTGGAGAATCCCAGGGACAGAGGAGCCTGGTGGGCTGCCGTCTATGGGGTCGCACAGAATCAAACAAGACTGAAGCGACTTAGCAGCAGCAGCGACAATAATAATGTAATAATAATAGTAATAAAAGAGAGGGACTGGTAGAACACATTAGAAAACTACTTGTCAGTATCCCCTGAAGCTGCACCCTTGAATAATCTATGGCTCAGAAACTTGTGTAAACACATGCATGCTATTTTTTTTCTATTTTTTGGCTGTGCAGGCTGTTAGTTCCCCCACCAGGAATCGAACCCACGGCCCCAGCAGTGCAACTGTGGAGCTGTAACCACTGAGCTGCCAGGGAAGTCCCTGTGGATGCTCCATTCTCATACACAGCCATCACAGGCAGCTCCGCACACGCACTGCGGTCACTGCATTAGACTTTCCCAGGCAAGAGTTAATCCCAAATGTCAGTGCTCTCTAAATTCCAGGAGACACGTTAAGTTCCATGAACACTTACTTGGCTTGAAGGAGCACTGTTCTCTACCCTCCTCTAGATGCTCCTGGAGCATCACAGTCATCCCCCACTTCCCTTCTCACAGCCTAGAGAAGAGGGATAATGAGCCAAGAGTGATAAAACCCAACTCTGGCCACCCCCAGAAATCCTGCCCAAATGGTCTTTTTCTTTTGAGAACACGGGGCATTTGTCCATTTTTGCACTCAGCATTTATTGCAAGAGGGGACACGTTCTATTTGAGCACTCTGCCGGGACAGGAAAAGGGCTGTGTTGAATATTAGGTTCAGAGACAAGGTAATTGATTTAAAACAATGTATATGACATTGGGACGGGAAGAGTACTTAATAAGAAAACATTTTAGGCATACACAGCTTACTCAATAAAATTACATTTTGAGGCAGGACCCAAAGTGAAAAAGGCTGGAGGGAAGTTCCACAGCCTCCTGCAAGGCCCCTGCTTTCATTAAACACTTTTATGTAGTTGGGAGTTAATCTACCATTTCCCTGGTCCTTTCCTCCCCAGGATGAAAGGGGATGGAAGGAGGAAGCAAGAGCTGGTGGGCAGGAAGGAAGACCAGAAATAGGGGCAGTCATTATTCTTATTTCTGTTCATTCTACATCAATCCTCCCCACAAAAAAAATTTTGTCAGTGGTTGGCTTGGTTCTATTTCAAAATAGAAAATCTAACTTTCATGGGAAAAAGCAAGTCTTGTAATTCAATAATATTTTATTTTCAACAGCATAAAAGGAATTCAATACTGAGCCTTCAGAGCAAGAAGAAAGTTGAACCTATTTACAATGAAGCCGGCAGGGGTTGGGGGGTGGGGAAGGAGTTCTGCTGTCCTTCCAAATTCAAACCTTCCAGTCACCCTCTTTCTGCAGTGAATAAACACTTGAACTTGTGACACAGGTAACTTCTCAGAAACATCTTTAAAAACATGCAATTGTTGTGCATTACCAACTAGCTATGTACAGTAACTAAACCTGTAGACCCTGAGAAAAATACATACTGAGGCAGCAGGAGCATTTTCAGTTACCTGTCCTAACAGCATTAAGTTCCTCCCCCTTTCCCACTAAATCACAGCAAAGACACAAGTCCCTTCAACACACGTAGCATTCTTTTACTGGCTACTGTGAGAGTCCGGGTGCATTTAAGTCCTGGTGGTCAGACATCCACAAGCTTGAGTCGGTTAGAATTTCCTGCCAGTGGTCGGTCTCTCGCCAACCCAGCCACCAAGTGGGCGTTCTATCAAAAGTGGAAGTGTTTTTTTTTAAAGTTAGCCTTAAATTATTTATTCTGCAGCAATCTGTTCCATCTTTTTCCGTTGCTGTTGTTATTGACCTTTATTGAGATATACTTGACATAAAGCATTGCGCCAGTTTAAGGTGTTCAGTGCAATGACTGAATATTTGTGATACATTACAGAATGAGCACCACAATAAAGTGAGTTAACACATCGATCACCTCACCCGCTTACAATTTTGCATGTGTGTGGTGAGAACTTTTAAGATCTACTCTCTTAGCAACTTTCAAATATAGGATATGGTATTCTTAACTAGTGGATACCAAAGGGGAAAGGGGTGGGGTGGGAGGAATTAGGAGATTAGAACCGACACATATAAACTATTGATAATATGCATAAAACAGACCAGTGATGGGACATACTGATTAGCACAGGGAACTCTACTTAACCCGCTGTGCTATTCTAAAGTGAAGCTTTATTAAGATCTGAACTTCCCACTGAGGTGCTGCCCTTGGGTTATCACAGGTCCAACTCTCCAAAATTCCACAAAGTTCTGAAAAAAAAGTCTTTTCATAAGCAGGAGACGCTCATTTGGCAGCATAACCTGATATTTGGGGATACCTAGTGTCTTTGCTTACTTTGCGCCAATATTCTACATTTTACGGCAGAAATATTAAGGTGTTGATTTTTAGGGTGCTGCTCCAGTTTCTGTCAGTGGAATTCCATAACATACAGTATATGCAACATGTTATCTTTCTAAAATCCCCGCAAAGTCAGACTTTGAAGGAAATATTGGTCCCTTATGTTCAGCATAAGGAGCTGTGGGTGTACTGTCCCCAAGTCTCATTCATGCCAGGAAAGCTTTGCAGCACCCATGTCCCAGGAAAAAGAGGATGTTTAGAACATTCTGCATCCCAGAGAGGGACGGCTAAGCTTTGGTAATAAAAATCATCTAGATCCTCCTTAGAGGAATTTTCTTTGAGAAAGACTGTGTTCCTACCAATAACTTTGGATTGTCTGACAAATAATGAACATGAATTTTTTTCTCTAAGGTGATTCCTTAAAGCACCATCTTCTAAAGGAGTGGGAAGGAAAACAAAAACCCAAAAAAAGGTTGGAAAAAAGGTCTTTAGGGTGAGTACCAGTGGCTTCCTGATCCAGCAGTATTAACAATTTATCATATTTAGAAAATGATTCTCTAGCCGCAGAGTTGGCAGAGAAGTTGGGTGGGACTTAACGCGGGCTCTGCCACTTAAGGAGAACAGAACTTGCCAAAGAAAATGATGTTTCGAGTTTTGTTGTGCCTGATGATGTAAATAAAGGGGTGGTCGGCATTGAACTCATCCTTGTGCTGCAGGATCCGTGCCCCTGGCACCTCCATGGAATCCCCACCATCTTCAGTTATTTCTAAGGACACTCTGTGAATGACATTTGAGAGGACCACTCCCTTCGTCTCTGACATCCCAGAGAAATCAGAGGTATCCTCATTAAAGATGTTTTTCAGCCCTAAGTTTTCCAGACTAGCCTTGGGATCAATCATCTTTTCCACCTTAAATTTTGGAATGGAGAGTTTGACTTTGGCATTGGCCATCGTGCTGGGATTTGTCCACTGCAGGAGTGTCTCTGAGTTCAGTTGTTTTTCGACCTGAAGGACAAAAAAGCAGAGGAAATTATTTTATTTCCAACTGTAAAAGATACTGCTCGATTAAAAGCATACAGTGTCACTGAGGGCCTGATTTGGAAGTAGTACAGATTGTCCATCAAAGACAGCACTGACTCCGCAGTTTTGGTGTGTGATGAGGTTCTCTTGAAAATGGCCACAAAGCCACCTAGCATCATTCTCCTGCACACCTTATGACAATGGTCCCTTTGCTCTGAAACTTATGAGAGCATTTCTTTT